TTTCTATACTGTAAGAGATCTGGGTGGCTTGTGTTTGTATATGTTTGAAACTTGAAAGCAAAAAGGAAAAACCATTTGATTTAACTAGTTGGGTAATACCGTAGAATGGTCTTGAGCCGTCCTGACTATTGACTGGTCTCATGATTTCCTACTATTATATTTCCATGTCACATTACGTCCTTTGTATTCTTTTGTTTTGTTAACAGTAAATATTCCATGAATAAAACATATTTATCAAGAGATATGTTTTTCAGTGATTTTGCGAAGTACATTCCAAAGACACCCGTGTGCATGTTGTAGATCGTTTCGAGCAATAGCTGAGATTCGCAGGTCATGGGATTTGTATAGGCTCCATCTCACTAGTAGGTTTGACTGGCGTAACATCTTGAAAGAATATCTGTTTCTATCGCAAGATTACAACCAAACAAGTAGTGAAGAAAACTCGAAGATATTCATTCAATGATCAAACTTACTTTTTAACTAAGAGATAATAAGGATAAATTGGAGCTCTCGTACAAATTAGTCTTGAATATGTTGTGGAAAAATGAAGCGGGGCTTTGTACTTTTTTCATTACTATAACGGTTACTAGAAGAATCCTTTATTGGGAATCTCACTCGAAACTGTTCCATGCTTTCGACAGTGACCATCTTGTTCTTACATTTACGTCAATTTTGATATTATACCGTTTGTGTATTGCAGCGCACGTGTGGCATAGTGGTCGGAGGCGCCCTGCAATACACATGGGATCGATTCCCAGTCAGTTGGCCCACTAAGCTTTCCATCCCTTTGGGGTTGGCGAATTGGTACCAAACATGTCTGAGAGGATAGGATCACTGGCTTGATATATCAGCAGGTCAGCGCGAATCATTGTAAAGGCCAGATATACAATCGATCACCCCAAACGATGCTTAACGAAGTTGAATGCATGACGCATCTCTATGGGATTGATCTACGTTGCAATATATATGTATATATAAGGGATAAAAGGGCGAAACTCTCGGCGTTGATCAATCCTTGAGAGATGCGCCATGCATTCAACTTCACTAAGCATCGTTGGAGGTGATTGAAAGCATATTTGGCTTTGACAATGACTCGCGCTGGCCTACCGATTGTATCGAACCAGTGCTGCTATACTCCCAGGAAAGTCTGGCACTAAGTTGTCGACCCCGGAGGGATAGGAGACTTGGTGGGCCATGGGTGCTGGGATCGATTCCACGCGTGCTGCGGGCGCCTCCGACCACTGCGCCACACGCGCCCTATATATATAACCGCTTTGTATGACTATTAGGTTGTTCGGAAATTAATTCGGGATTTCAACATGTACTCCTAAAATGGCATATCTTAGCGAAATAAAACTTATTATTCGAAATAGGATCCATTAGAATATACACGCTTTGCCCACGAGAAACAAGTTTGTTGACACCAGTTGCATCTCGTGCATGCCATGGAGTTGTTGAGCGTGATTTCGGCCTCGGCTTGGTTTCTGAGGCATTTATCGAGAAGGAGCTGTCAAAATGCTTGAAGAATCTGTACTCAAGAGATACGGAAAATAAGACGGACGAAGCAGGGCTTCGTAGCCCAGCTTGTTCAAACATTGCGGTGTTGTTAGTGTGACGAATGGCCGTGTGTTATCGTGGAGAAGGATTTGTCCTTTCGATCAAGACACGCATATGTCGAAGTTTCTATTTCATTTCGTCGGTTTGTGGAAGGAATTTCGCCTCCGTCGTTGGGTCACCCTAATTCAGGAAGCTGTGATGGACTAACCCAGCAACAAAAAAGCTTGAATTTCTTCGTGTGCAATTTTTGGGAAGTGCTGCGGAGCTTTATCACGACTCAGCCAACCAAGCCAATCGTTGGCGGTTGTCACAGTGGACCTACTTCTCGTCGTAGGTTACAACTTGGTGGAGAAACCCCTGTTTCTGGTTGCGCACATGAATCGTCGAGGATGCATAGCAATGCGATTTGTTTGAGTGCCATCAAAATCGTGTGGCATTCCATCGTCGATATTATTCAACTTTTCTGTCTTTTCGGATGTTCGGAAACAGTTGACACGCTAACATCAAGTTCTTTTTTGAACTTTCCAACAGCTCCGCGCGCATTTGCTTTCATCAATGTTCACAATTCATCGTTGTCAACAGCAGATTGCCACCGCTATCTCACTAGCCTTCAAGGTCGAATCTGACACAAGGAAAACCTTAAAACCAACTGTACCCTGTGCAATCGTTAACACTTTCTTAGCCCATAACTCGTTAATGTCTGATTTGTTTGAATTGCGTACGACCGAGTTCGAATTGGTGAGCTCAAATCCTATGTTAAATTTCGAACAATCTAACATATTAGCTCTAGCATGATGCGTACACTGGGTAGAAGTGGGATTTTTTATGCGAATATAATAAGAATTGAAGAAAGTTACTAAAGGAGGAAAAGAGCTCACCTTTGGTTATCTCCTTGAATCTAACAATTGTGAAGTTTCGCAGTGCGGTTGACTGTTGCACATTGATTTCTTTCGCGACAGTAATCCCAAATTGTGCAATAGCTAAAAACGTAAGCTTGGCGATGTGAGAATCTATTAACAGTAGGATTTATCTTTTCTATACAACAGCATAGGTGGTTACATGCTTGTGTTTGTTGTACTTTCATCAATGAAGCTCTGAAATTAACAATATCCTAGCAATTGGTGTAGCCAACATCAGGCTTCGAACCAGTTTAACACACTAGGGGATCTCATTATCATGCTCGAGTGCAAGTGTCTTTCCCATACTTGAATTCCATATGCATATTTTTCGGTATATTTTATCTAACACCATAAATGTTCGTCGAAAGTTTACCTCTCGTGACAGCGTGACAATGCCTTGTTCTGCGATTTACGTAATGAGTAAGACATTCTAAGCTTGAAAACAGTGCAAATGGCCATCTAAAGACGGCGACAGACTTCCAATCATCAGCCATGAAAGAGCGAAGGGATATTAAAACCTTTTCTATGCTATGATTTCTACCAGGAATCATTGGAGAAAGACCGGTCGCAGATTCACAACATCTGCTGAAAAAGAAGGGACTCTTGAATACTAAACAGCACACGAGATCATATTTCCCAACCACAGTGATCGAAATAATGCTTACAACTAGCATCTAATTTGATTCTTGAATATGCTCTAGATGTTTCTTACAAAGATTATCTTATCGCACACAATAGGAAAAGTGGGTGATCAGTGCAGGTTTTTGCACTAATAAATAACTTTAAGCGATTTCTCCATTTCACCAATTTTGTGATAACTTCAGAATTCTGGGTGGGATCGTGGAGATTTGCGGGAAGTGCTAGCCGCTTTTCGTCCTAGTCTTCATCTACGGCAAAAAACTGTCGTGTTTTCAGCTCTCGCTGACCAGTAGGTGGATCTATCTTGCGTGAGAATTTTGGTCGCTTGCGATTTCAACTTAATAACAGTTCAGCTCTTCCACTGTCAGTTAGCATAAACACAGAGGGGAGTTCTATTGTCGACACCATCGACTTTCTTACTTTAGAATTGGACATAAATCAACTAGAGAAACTTGACATCACCAAAGCGTGGACCAAAGAGGGATATCCGAATGCGGATATACATGGGTGCTTCTTAAGACATCGTACCATAGATATGAGCCTTGATAAAGATCACTGACTCTTAACAACAGCTGATCCGAGAATTTGTAGCGTGATATCAATTCGATGTCACCAAAAACGACTTAAGGAGGTCGACAAGCGGGTGGTGCATGAATAGAACGAGTGAGGTCATCACCACTCAATCCGTTCTGCCTTTCTTTTACACAACAATAACGCCCCATTTCTAGTTGATAGTGTGAAGTACAGCGAAGAGTAGAACCTATACGAGAACTGACAATGTCGGGTGCCGTAACTGGACGAGTGAAAGCTTCTCGGGATTTCACAGTGTTGGCTCCCATCATGGTTACTTTTTTTTACTCTCGACAGAGGGAGCCATTTAAAAGAGATGTCTTCAATCTTGGCGAAGTCATCACAGCAAAGAAGTAACGGCACGTAATTGAATTGTCTATTTCTGATAAACGAAGACGCTTAACTATGCCTTGCGCAACAGCGCGCTGTAAAAGATGTATGAGTGAAGCTACAAAGCCCGGTTTCATTCAAGTGCTCTTCGGACCTCATAATAGCCAAATGATATCACTTTTCCCATGCATTTTAACAACTATCACTTGACAAAACCTTTTCCAATCAAAGTGGTACTACAAATATCTTCGAAATCCTGATGGCATCCAGAGCTTCAGAATTCTAATCTGTCGAAACAAAGGAAATTACATCTTGTTGGCAATAACTTCTTCTTCCCAATAATTCGTACTTTTACTTAAAAGGTAGTTTTAAGCTGGATTATACTATTCCAAAAATATCACTCAATTTCAGCCATCTTTTCCATCATACAGAATAATAAATCGCAAGTGAAGCATGAATGGACCAGTTACTTGATGAGAAGCGAGCGATAGGTGGACGAAAAAAGCTAGACAACCCTTCAAGTGAACGAATGCATAAATTGGGGTAGCCAGCTACCAAAATGGGGAAAGTTTTTAGCTCACGTCAAAAAACCACAGGTTTCAATGAGATTAATCGGTTGCCAGAGAAGGAAATTCTCCCTGCGTCACCACTTAAAAACAGAAACGGCTATGATGGAAATAAACGAAGAAGGTTTGAAAGTGAGTCGGTGCTTTAGATCATCTTACAGATCGATGATTCTACCGACAGTATAAGGCATGCTTGGTATTTTTGTGGAGTACAACTTTTGGGCCTACGCTTTTGTAACCATGAGAAAACCTCTTGGAATAACTGTTTAAAAATAGTGTAGAATTCAAAAGTAGATTGAGAAAGAAGAAGACACCTTTCCAAATCAGTTCTTGAAAGAAAAAATAAAACTATCAGGATAAAAAACTCTTTAAAGAAGATGTTGCGTCGAATTTGTTGCTAAAATATCGCCTGTATTAAGAGGAATCCTCAAGAGTTAACCTGAATGAAAATAGCTCGGTATTTGCTTCCGAAAATCAGGTAAATCACAATTGTAGAAGCACCATTTATGTTGACCAGTAAAGCGGAAACCTGAAACTAGTGACTTTGTCTAAAGACAGTGGCTATTCTTTAATAATCTCTGGTGTTTTCCTTTCAGGGGACTATCAAGAATTTAATTGGAAAGGTAGTGGTGAATTTCCACATAACCCTTATTGCGAGGGTGAAATCATTCGAAAATTTAGTGTTCCTTGTCAGAAAAATCGGTCATAGAGATGACGGTTGGGCATGCATCTCATGACTACTGGCAATGAATATTTGACAGCCGAATATGGAACATAATCACTAGTTCAAAAGACTACAAACTTTTATTTAGCCAGTGTTGCTACATTTGACACAATAACACCTAATTCATCATTAGGTTAGTTCGAAAAAGTATGTCGTGCTATACCAATTTAACCTGCCAGCTTTGCTAATGTGTAAGTCCGCCCGCATCAATTCGGACAACCTAAGAGTAGAACAACAGAAATATACTTCGACGAGCAGTGTCTCCAACTGTGAATGTCCGTAGGCACCAGTGAGTTCGAGCACATTGTTGGCAAATGCAAGTAGATTGAAGAGAAGGAACTCGGTTGTAATCGCTACCAACATCACCGTCACTCCATTTTCTTTCCGATCTGAAACAGTTCAGTGGAAGAACTTCTCATAAAACCTAGGCAGAAACACGCTGTATAAATTGGAATAGTCGAGTGGGTTTCAATCTCGACATATTGAAAAAAAAAAGGAAAACAAAATAGAGCTATGACGCCATCTACAGCCGTACTTCATTAGTTGCAGCCGGTGACATGTGCAGCCAGAATAATTTTTCATCCGAATCTCTATTGTTAGCACAAAATCAGGAAAATAAATAGTTTTGTAAAGTGGTCGATTTGAAAAGGGTGTTGTCAAAAAAGAGTAGCGTCCATGGTTTTAAGGCTGAAAAATGCGGGTACACTATTTGTTGTCAGTTGTGAACGTGCCTTCAACTTTTATAGCATCATATCGAAGAGTTAATGTTTTATCCAATGGCAAATCCGCTTTCGGTTGTCAGGAAACATCTTCTAAAATGATTGAAAACACTGAAGGAAAGAAAAAAGGAGAAAAGAGAAACAAAGGCGAGCCACTTTAAAACACAAGAGGAGAGAATAGATTTCACAAAGTCATTGTTGCTTTCTCTAACAGAAAGAACAATCCCAACGAGCACTAACTGTATCCAGTAAGGACAGACTGCTTGACATTGCCGTAGCTATCACAATAATCTAAACGTAGAACGTGGAACTGCTAAAAGGAAACAAATATCTGGAATAATAAAAATGTTCGTTGCATCACTAACTAACCACTGATACTTTGGCGCATCGTCAAACACTATGAAGAATTTGTTACTTTATTACTAACATTTCTAGAAAAATCCTTGCGCAAATAGAGTTTACTACATCGAGCTGACGGCTACAACATGTTTTAGAAGCACATCAATTCTTGTGAAGTGGGCAATATTGTGAAGAAGTATTTCACCTGTCCAAGAATTCTTAAGAATTATTTCTCTAAGTGTTAAGATGCGATTGTCGTTGTGATACACATTGAGCCTACGAGTGCCGTTTTAAAAGGATTGGTTTATTGCATAAAAGTATTGACAAGTAGCCACTAAACTTTTTCAGTCCTTCACTTACTCACGGAAGATAGTTTTTCCATCGCAGAATCTGCTTGAGAAAGACGTGCCATTGAAGTTTTTCAATACCAAAGGGAACGTAAATGCGAAAAGCATTTAACTTGGGTCCAGTTATAGCGCGATTTTACAACCAGGCTTAAAAAAGCTGAAAAACGGTGACAGCACACTCTACGAACTGTACTGGAAATATTTTGAAACCGATTATCATTAACCTCGGTAGAAGTACTCAACAAATTTCTACATGATCCGGTTAAAGCGAGATTGGTATAAAAGTTTAAAACTAAAATAGAGAAAAACCATCAGAGCGTACTGTTTTGTTCTCGCCACTGAGAAACACAGAAAAGAGTAGGCACAAAGGTAAAGCTACAAAATTTCCGGCGTGGAGTTCTAACACTACTAGAACGAAAGCCAGGTTATACAAAATGCAAAAACAGGCTTTGTCGTTTTCTACGCAAAAGTAAGAAATTCCATGGAAAATTTATTTCAACGCTTCGAAATGAAAAATGAAAAAAATGAAAAACGAAATGATCAACGAGCTCAGCGAAGCGGGGAAAAAGATCAGACTTCGCATAATCGAAAGAAGACCCAGTTCATGAAAAACCTATGGTGCGAAGGCAAAAAAATTGAATTGGATAGCTCCCACATTGCCAGAGACCACCTCGTACGTTTACCTTGGGCGATCAATGAACATGGAAAACAACATGAAAGAGGAACTAGATAGAAGATGGAAAGCAGCTTGGGCCGCATTCGGGCCTCAAAGAAGCCACCGACCAACTGAAGGACCCGAAAATCCGCGCTCATCTCGATTCTACGGCCCTCTCAGCGCTCTGTTATGCTGCAGAGACGTGGGCTGATACTTCAACTACGTCAAGAATGCTTCGAACTACTCACAGAGCGCATGAGCGATGGCTTCCGAAATATAACCGGCACACTCAATATAGAGCCGGAATTCGAAGCTCTGACCTTCGAAATCTGTCACATCTTCGAGATCCAGAAGAATATACACCGACGGCGAAACATAGATGGGTCGATCATATAATGAAAAAAACCGACGACAGATGGACGAAAAGAACAGTAGAGTGGACTCCAAGAGAATGCAAACGTCCCTTGGACGTCCACCTACACGTTGGGGGGACATGTTCGGAAACAAAGTTAATCAGCTGTACCCGCGGCTGCAGTTGTTTTACAGATCACGGTATGAGACTCGCAAGCGCTACCATGCTCGAACAAGACTACCACCATGGACTACGATTGCGAGAGAAAGGAACGAATGTCATATGTGCCGGGGTCCGCACAGCTCGTGGAGACGGACCGTCCAAGTATCCAAGTATATGTGTCCCTGTTCCTTCCGGATTTACAAAGGAAAATAAGAAACTGAAACAGTGGTAATTAAAAATATAAAAATGGAAAAGTGGTGATAAAACGATGTCCAGGAAATTTAACTACTGCGTGACTTCTGATCAAACGTGATCGATTACTCAACAAGTACGATACGTACATTGTTTAGGTAGTGATTTTTTCATATTCTGTGATTATGAGAGTAACCTATCCAAGGTAAATAGGTCGATGTACATTCCATACCATCAACGAAAGCCTCGAAATCTCTATCCGGTTGCTTAGCAAAAGGTTATTCATCGAGCACCAATATCTTCCTCTCGTCGTCTAATATGTGGAACTTTCCTCATGTTTCTTCTGAACAGAGCAAACGAGACGAGGAGGAATGGATTGAGTAATGGTGACAATAGTAACAGTGATGGATCGAAGTGATGTGGACCATGGAGTGACTGCGAAGTCATCAAAGCCAAGTGTTTTTAAATCAACAGCTCCTGCCACTCAATAAAGAGCGAGAAGAAATACGTGAGCGAAGGAAGAAGTGTGTTGGTGGGATTAAATAGATTTGTAAAAATGTCCTGTATACAATTCTACCCAGACACATATGAATGGTTAGTCATTTTAGCAGATAATGTTTTATACGACATAGTTACACATACCTCCCAACGGTTTACCGCCTCATCGTGGTTGGGAGGTGTCCTTGGGTGTCGGACTGCGATGTACAGCGGAGGGATTCGTCTCTCCAGCAGGGTCCCCCAAACTGAAGAGTTCAGCGTTTTTATCAGAAAGCCTATCTAAGAGCAAACCAATACCAGGACCCACCACTGCCCTGGTTTCGAAGTCGCATGGTGGCAAATCTCTCTTTGATTCGCAAGGGCTACGACTGCCTATCGTGGTGACGACCTGAGGCAGACTTTTGTAAGGCTGTCCTCGGGATTCCAGGAAACCACAATGGCTTAATCGGCAAATCTTCGAAAAATGGTGACTATTCTGGGGCATGCACAGCCAGTGAGGACGGGCCGTTCAAGTACCAAGTAAGTAAGTTACATATAAATACAGAAACCATACTGAACATGCAAAAAAGACACCGCATTTAAATACGAACAAGAAGATGACCTGAAATAAGCCTTTATTGCACATCACGTCCATCATATGTCGTCCCAGATTGTCGAATAACTCGAGCTGGTGTCACTAAATCCTCCTATTTTCCTTGTCGCGTAGACAGCAGTCAGTGGATTATGCTCACTCGAAGGATTCGTTGAGCATCATACTCTTCTTCTAGGCTTTTCGTGAAGAGCTCTGACCATCGGGTCGGTGGTCTTCCTGCAGTACGTTTGACATTTTAAGGAAACCAGCCACTAACGGCTCTTGTCCAACGGTTCATACACAGTACCTGTCCGGCGCACCTCATCTTCGACTGTTTGGCATATTGAACGGCATCTTTGATTTTTGACCGTAGACGTAGGTCAGAGCTTCGGATCCTTTCCTTCATTCAATAACATTGAGTTATCCTTCATCTTGCTCATGTATTGACCAGGTCTCTCACGCATACGCTATAGCAGGAACAATTGGGAATCGAAAAGCTGGCCAAAGAGTTGGGTGTTGCTTCTTCCCTTTACTACATCCTTGATGCTTTTGAAAGTTCCCCAATCCGCTTGTTTTTTCCTGCTCAATTTTGGAGCTGAGCCGTTCATCATTTTGATTTCCAGACCTAGCTAGACGTAACTGAGCATTCGGAGGCATTCCTTCCGTTGAGCGTGAATGAGATATATGTAACTTATCCGTTTTTCATAAACATCGTTTTTATCAGATTTAGTCGAAAACAAATCTTTCCACAGGCTTAATCAAAGTCGGAAAGTACTCGCTCCACTTGGCTAGTGTTTGGTGTTACAAGAATGATCTCAGCAGCAAACGGCGATGGTGCAATTGCCGACTATCGATTTTCATTCCCATAAGGTCCCATTCCAGTGCTCGCATGACTCAAGAGTGGCGGTGAATAATTTTGGCAGGATGGTATCCCCTTCCCTAATCTCTTTTTCAAGGTCGATGTTAATATCGCTGTAGAATAGTGATATCATGGTTGTGAGTTTTTTGCATAGCTCTCAAAGAACTTTTATATACCGAGTAGAGACCCCGGCTTCCATGATTACTTCTCTTTCAACTGAGTCAAAAGCCTTCTTTAAACGGGTGGAAATGAGACAGAATGGTCATTTGTACTCTTGAGATCCTTCAGTGAGTCGTGTTATTGTGTGGATTTGGTCTATCGTACTGATCTCTTACCCTACTTGCTCATATAGCTGTCCTTCGTCTAGTGCTCTGTCAATCCTGTTTCGGATAACTCCAGTGAAAAGTTTACAGGCCACACAGAGCAAGCAGATTGAGCGTTAGTTGGAGATATCGTGCAGGTTACCCTTCTTGAAAAATAACATGGTCCTGCTGGTCCTCCACCGAGTAGGAACGTTGCATTCAGACAGATTACGTGAGAAGAGCCGAGCCAGTGTGTTTACGAGGACTGGCGAAAGGTTCTTCAGGTGTTTAGGTCTTATTTTGTCCGGACCTGGTGCTATTCGATTTTTTACCGACGAAATGGCATTTCGGATTTCGGAAGGGAAAACCGTTGGTACAACACATCCCTCCTCCTTTATTTCATACGACAGAAGGTGGGCGTGGCTATCGAAGAGATCCGAGTAGTATTCGTGAATGAATTTCTCCATTGTCTTTCTGGACTCCTGGGGGTCGGAGTGCAATCATCTTGGTCTTTTGCTTAGCGAAGCTTCGGTGGGCTTTGTGAATGCTTTTTTCCCGTCTCTGCAGGTTCGACCATTACTGCTGCTCTTCTCTCATTAAGATCTTCTTTTATCGCCAGTCTGAAATGTTTTGTAAGACGTCTCTTTGTGACTTTCGAACTGTCAGCTTTCATAGTGCTAACGTGAAGGTGTTGAATGAGCCGACCGTATTCTTCGTCAATGTTATCGACAACGACATTTTCCCAACAGCCGACTAATGAACTGTCTCAGTTTATGGTGGTTCTGGGACTTCGGTTTTTAAATTAAGCGGCTTTTTCTCCTTTAGGCGAGAAATAGAATCTTGCACGAAGGAAATGGTGGCGTGATCACGTGTAGAATTTTGGGGCAACAGCGACATTGGTTAGGCAGTACCTTCTATTTACTATAATATGGTTTATTTCGTTATGGTACTTTCCACTGAAGAGACTCCCACGTCTAGCGTTGAAGGTGGGGCTTCTGGAATTACGAGTTACCATGGTTGGTCTTGGTCGCCATGA